AAAATCTGGGTCTGAACGTGCAAATTGTGGCCGTCAGCGACTAGTCAATGTTAGGGCAGAACGAAGAGTGGCAAGACTGGTACAAGACAACAGAAGGGCAACAGTGCAGTGTCAGATTCCTCGCATCACCTTTCAACATCTCGTGGAGTCACGAGGCGGCCCAACGAAGTCAACTCGTGGAGTCATCTCGTGGCCCAACGAAGTACTGATGGGGTGCCTATAATAATCTGGCCACTCTGTGTATAGTATAAGCTGCTGGTATTCTGCACTGCACCGCTGTATAATGTACTATATTGCACACCACACTTTTTTTTTTACTTCCACCGTGCCAAGCTTGCTCCCGTGATGGACTACAATCTCAATAGAAACTATTAGTCCATCACTGGAGCCTTTTTTTTTAATCCGATTAATCGAACTTGATAATCGGCTAACTAATCGATTATGAAAATAATCGTTAGCTGCAGCCCTACAGTGAATTCAAGCGTGGTACCATGATAGGTTGCCACCTGTGCAATAAGTCCATCCGTGAAATTTCCTTGCTACTAAATATTCCATGGTCAACTGTTAGTGGTATTATAACAAAGTGGAAGCAACTGGGAACAACAGCAACTCAGCCGCGAAGTGGTAGGCCACGTAAAATGACAGAGCGCGGTCAGTGCATGCTGAAGCGCACAGTGCACAGAAGTGGCCAACTGTCAGTGCGTAGAGAGCTTCATGGAATGGGTTTCCATGGCCGAGCAGCTGCATCCGAGCCTTACATCACCAAGTGCAATGCAAAGCGTCAGATGCAGTGGTGTAAAGCACGCCGCCACTGGACTCTAGAGAAGTGGAGAAGTGTTCTCTGGAGTGACGAATCACGCTTCTCTGTCTGGCAATCTGATGGAGGTGTCTGGGTTTGGCGGTTGCCAGGAGAACGGTACTTGCCTGACTGCATTGTGCCAAGTGTAAAGTTTGGTGGAGGGGGGATTATGGGCTGGGGCTGTTTCTCAGGGGTTGGGCTTGGCCCCTTAGTTCCAGTGAAGGGAACTCTTAAGGCATCAGCATAGCAAAACATTTTGGAAAATGTCATGCTCCCAATTTTGTGGGAACAGTTTGGGGATGGCCCCTTCCTGTTCTAAAGTCACTGCGCAGCAGTGCACAAAGCAAGGTCCATAAAGACATGGATGAGCCAGTTTGAGGTGGAGGAACTTGACTGGCCTGCACAGAGTCCTGACCTCAACCCGATAGAACGACTTTGGGATAAATTAGAGGGGAGACTGCAAGCCCGGCCTTCTCGTCCAACATCAGTACTTGACCTCACAAATGCGCTTCTGGAAGACTGGTCAAACATTCCCCATAGACACACTCCTAAACTTTGTGGACGCCTTCCCAGAAGAGTTGAAGCTGTTATAGCGGCAAAGGGTGGGCCAACTCAATATTGAGCCCTACGGACGAAGACTGGGATGCCATTAAAGTTCATGTGCGTGTAAAGGCAGGCAACCCAATACTTTTGGCAATATAGTGTATATCTATACACACACACACGCATGCAATAAATAACTGTAGGAACGACTCCTCTTTACACATATATTAGTTTATTGTGCATTAACCACATCGTCCTTGGCTGCTAGGACAGAGGCGACCCCTGCTTTACAGCCTCGTTTGTTGCTAGGACGCACACGGACCCTGCCACACAGCACCCTTTGTTGGTAGGATGTCCTAACAACCAAAGGGGACTGTGCGGAAGGGGGGGCCTGCATCTTAGCGATCAATATAAAGACAGAGGGGGGTGGAAAAGCAAAACTGACAAGATCCCTCACCCTGCATACCTATTGACAGTGCTGGTCCCTGGGAAGCGTTTGGTTCCTGAAACAAGCGCTTTCCTGAGACAACAATCACAGCTAATTAAATATTAATCTCCTTGCTAGATGGGTGGTCTGATAGTGGTTGGGAGAGGGGGGCCCACTGTTGACCATGCAATCTCAGCAATGAGACAAGAGAGAAAGACAGAACAAAGTGCTACAGGCACTTTGTCTTTTGAGGGACAGGAGCAAAAAAAAAAAAAGAAAGTGTAGAGAGAATTCTTCTTTAAAAGGTTTCTTACATTAAAAGAAAAAGTAAAGAAACAGTAAAGAAAAAAAAGAAAAAATATTCCCAATAACTTCTATTGTGTACCTGTGCCCTTAGATTTCTACATTAATATGTCCTCTAAAAGAAATTACTTCTTGATCCTGCCATTGGCTAGGACTTCATCCTTCTTGGTGGCAACAATCCGCAAGCTCACAGAGCCTCACCCTCACAGAGAGCGTGCATGTTTACTTCTTAGTTCACATGACCCCATTTCTTCTGTACAGCCCAGCAATGCCTGAGTCCCTGCTAGGCTATGCCACTGACGGGACAGTTGCCTGGAAGGGAGGGCATGTAAAAGCTGAAGCAACGTCACAGGGTATGTGACATGCTGTGTCTTTGCCTAGCCAACAATTTACACTGCTGTGTAAATACTAAAAAAAAAGCAAATCGCCTGACTATATAATGGAGGATAAAAAAAAAGGTGTTTGTTCTATGCTTTGACAAACTTGTGATCTTCAATTTAATTCTTGGTTTTGTGCCCTCTTGTTTACACAAAGGAATATCACAAGAGTTTAGAACCACTTAAAGATATAACACATAAAAACCAAGAAGATATAAATTACTGTGGCATTGCGTGGCAATACCACGGTGTTATGTGGCCTCAAAGTGACCCAGGATTCTCAACTAGAGTGGCTCCAGGAAGCAATTGCTTGTATCAGGAAAGAGCTGGCTTTTCAGTCCTTGGAGCTAGATTTCTTAGGCCTGGTTCACACCTGAATGTTTTGTAGCGCGTTCAACGCTCGACGAACGCTCTACAAAACGCTCAAACATCTAAATCCCATTGTATTCAATGGGTCTGGTTCACACCATGCCGTATTTCCGCCCGTCCGAAGAAGTACATGTACTTCTTTGGGGTGTTTTGGTCTCGCGTTTCCATTGGGATACAGCCAAGTAGCCCTCGGAAACGGGCGTTTGTTGCACGTTTTTTTTACCGCGAATCGCGGTAAAAACGCGCATCGACAAACGCGCATATTCAATACACCTAGGTGTGAACCCAGCCTTACAGCTCTGGGTGGGATGAAATCTCCATTCCTGGGTCAATGCTTTAGTAGCGACCAGCACCTAATTGTGCACCTGTGTACAATCCTTATTAAGGAGGGTGCTGGGATGTGTTGAGGGCCCCACCTGGGAGACAGGAGAACTCCACCCAGGAGTCAGAGTGGAGGCCAGTGCAGCAGGGAGCTGCAGGCTTGTGAAGCCTATTGTGCAGGTTAGCACAGTATTGAGGTTGTGGAACCAGACAGGGGCCCTGAGGATTGAGGACGGAGCAGCAGTGCTGCAACAGAAAACTGTTAAATGACTGGGACACTGTAAGTGTGTGGGGCAACTCAAGGATTGGTGAGCCAATAGCTGTTATTTGCTGAAGACAAGCTAATTTATGTTGGACTTCCTTTATTGTCTGCCTTTGAAAGAATTTATATTATTATTACCGTATTATACAGGATTTATATAGCGCCAATTGTTTGCACAGCGCTTAACAATATAAGGAAGACATTACAGTCACAATACAATTTAAGACAAGATGGTAAGGAGGGCCCTGCCCGTGAGGGCTTACAATCTAAAAGAATAATAATGCTTTTAGTTAATGGAAAAAAGCTGTGGGAGTGCTCTGTGAGCTCCCCAACATCAAATTACATATACAACATGAAGCTACTAACAGCATACTACTACATGAATACATGACAGAATACTAGTACAAAACAAATTATAAGAGTACTCACATGCCATGCAAGGGAGTGTTCCGACCAGAAAGTCGAACAGCTTCTGATGAAAGAGATCTTTGGTACCTTAATTCTTTCAAGCTCTTCAGTACCTGCAGGGAAAAAAGGATAATCTGCCATTGTAACCTCTGTACAAAGAGAGGGTTTAGGACAATCTTTGGCATATACTGGGTGCCTCTAGTCATTATCAATCTTCTCTGGGAAGACCTGTAATGAAGCTGCAGCTGCATAGCAAGATGTTCATAGACACGGTGCCCCATCTAATTTCTCCTTCCTGCCATAACCATTCAAGCTGTATAAGCTCACAGATACCACTGGACGTAACTGTGGAACTTTCTGTACTCCAAGTCATCAGAACTGATGTAACCCTTGTACAGTCAACTGTATTGATTGTCTCATTCCTGTCTGTATACTCCCCTGATTTGCCAGAAAAAAATCTCAGCTGTATAAATGTATTGACAATAATGAAACTTGCATTTCTGCAGTGTGCTAGTGGAGATTATAGTTCTGCCTTCTGAACAGGACCTGCCACAGAGCTTCAAAAGGGAGGTTTCACAGCCAAATTCCAGAAGAATGCACTCCTACTTAGTCAGATTATCTGATGCCACATGATCTGCGGGCTGAACAAGCGAAATCGAACAGATCACTAAACACTAACACTAAACAGCATGGATGGACAACTCTTCCCCAATGGGCTATTATCATGACTGTTGGCTTTTGCTGCTGTCGGAATACCCGAACAGTGACTGCAGCAAATTGGCTTCCAGTTTTTGGCCCGGCTCCTTCGACAAAATCAACTGAGTAAGTCGCCTTTTGTGGAGACTGCAGGGCCACCCAATGCTAGAATTTTGGATAGTTCACTTTCAATACCATACTCATACATGGCCTACATTTCAGTCAATTCCTGTTGAATTGGGCGACATTGGAGCTGTGGATGGCCCTGTCAGCATCACCTAGCTTAACAAAGTTTGATTGAAAAATTGAAGGAGCCGGGTTGAAAATTGTTGGCTGAAAAGCGACTGCATCCAATAAGATGCAGTCACTGTTCAACTATTTAGACAGCCGCTGGTGCCAGCTGTCAAAATTCAATAACCACCAGAGGAGATACCACCATATATGTTTAGCGTGGATGGAGAAACAAGTGAAAGAGAAATCTTGCCATGTATGACTAGCTTAGGTACCAGGGTCACATAGGAAAGCTTCTCTGCACAACTCAGCAGAGAAAGGTCCTGAGGACCTGAACTCCAATCTCTACCGCCACACTTTCTATAAATGTGTTTTATTCCTGGGAAGTAATAAGCGTATACATTTTATTTCTGGGAAGAACAAAGACCAGGCCTCACATTTGACCACTACAGCTCCACTTTCAATTGCCCCCAAAGGCAACATATTAGTCCTAAAAGAAAGGAATTAATTCCTGAATGAGCATTGCCTACACAGAGCTGAAAGCACTTGCTTCAAACACGCTGGCATGCGATAATCCAAGTCACGACCCAAATTAAATTCCCCTCAACACAGATTAGACAAAGATGCCGTTGAACGCCAAGTAGGAATCCAGTACATGTATATGCCCCACACCTAAACGGTTCTTATTGCTCACTGTTTACCTTGGCATGGACTAGGGTAAGGGAGGTCAGTTCCTTATTCAGCAGGGTCTTCTGCTCCTCCAAACTAAGGACTGAAAAAGACAAGCAGAAGCATTCCATAAGTCATCTGTGAGAGAGAGCATTCTTCTAAATGGTGTCAGACGATGGGCTGCACGTTCTGATTACCCAAAAGAAAAATGATAGAATCAAATGAATGATCTATACAAAAGAAGTATAAAACAGAAAAGCATATGTCAACACTACTTCAAACTTGTGTCTGCTGAACCACTTGCTGTCCGGAGCAATTTCTAATGCTGCCAGCTTCTCCTCCTGGCTGCAGGAGCCAGAGAATGTAAACAGTGACACCAAAATTGATGTAATACACATAACTTCCGGGTCCAGTGATCGGAGGAGAGATCAGTGGCTGGAAACTTGCTGATCTCCCTCCGATAGGTGAGGGGAGACCCGCTATGCCAGTCCTGGACCTGCACGGGGGACAGCGGAGCTCGGGGTAGCTGGCGGCGGAGGAGGGCACACATCTGCCGCACCGTACAAGCGATCCGGAGGCTGTGTTCTTAGTATAACTGCTTTAGGATCAGGATGTTTTTTTACGGTGGGCGGTCCTGAAGTAGTTGAAACATACAGATGAAATGTGTATATTGGAATCTATTTACCTGCCACATGATCTGTAGCCCTGTCCATTCAGTCCTGAGACTGACACAGTTCTGCCACACAGCACTGCCCCGTTTAGCAGGGCACCTGATTTTTGCTGCTGTACACTAGCGCTGGCCATACACCTATAGATTATCAGCAGGTTTTCTATGGTCACAGGGAAAAATTGCAACAGATTCTTCCATCTACGCTGAACTGTGTGGATGGAGGAATCTCCTGCTGGCTCAAGCTTCAGTATCTTGCTAGTCGGACCTGCTGGCTCTCAAAATACCTGAACGTTGCCTGCATCCAATCAGATTGTTCAGGTATTTTGACATCTGACCATATAAAATCTGCAGATAATCTATAGGTGTATGGCCAGCTTAACACTTACAGGTCTGGTCCCTCCCCAGCCTGTGACTGGGCATTGCTGTTGTACAGGGATTGCAGGTCAAATTCAGGTAATTACACATAAAGAAACATATAAGGCCCGTTCATACCTTGGCATACCAGAAACGAGTGTCGCATTCACATGCATTTTTCCCACATTTTGCCATATGTCGCCCATTGATTTCAATGTATGCAGCACGCGCAAACGTAGCTCACATAGCAGATTCTGCAGCAGGCACACCTCGTTTTTCTCCTGCGTGATTGTGCACATTTTAACTCGCGTCCATGCTCAGGAAAAATACACGTTTTGCTGGCTACTTTTGGGGTGCCATTAACAAGTAATGGCACCGCATGTGTGACGCATGTTTTTGATGAGTTCCAAAAAACGCGTGTCAAAATGTGCACATGATGTGTGCTTGGTGTGCATTCACGCAACGTGAAAGTGTGAACGGGGACTTAATGATGTAATAATGAATACAAAGCTGCATTAACTGGTGTATGTTACATGTGCCTGTCTGACTATGCCCATTCCAGGGAAGGTGGGTATTAGTGGGTACAGGGGGTCAGGATGGTGGCCTATGAAGGCAAACTAAGAGATTCACTTGAACTTTAGAAAACAAAAGCGTAAAGCCACATTCATACGGTCAGTGACATACACGAGTGTATAGGACATTTCTAAACAAATATAAATGCATGTCATGATATTAAATCATATAATTCACACTGTGTGTATACATGCGTGGAGGTGAATTCAGAGAGAACTAAATTCTGTACATCCAGGGTCATATTACATCCTCTGAAGGTGTCTAAACGCATGTAAGCACACATGAATAAATACATGTAAACGCAGGAAAGCCACCTGGGAAGCATATAGTTTGTTTACACTTCTCAGATAACTGCTCCTGTATTCAGATGTGTGAATCTGAATCAGATGTGAATGTAGCCTAAAGGGGACACATCTCTTCTGTGTGATAAGGCCACTGAGTGGGCCTCCACTGCCCTCTATGACTGCTATAGTCAGGACTACGATTGTAAAATGCTGCAGCAGAATTTTTGTCCTCGGTTATTCATCAACCTGTTTAACAGAAGAGTGATTTACAAATTCAACATGATCAAACATGCACTGGTCTGACTTTAGCTGCTCTACAGCCTTACCTTCAGGTCTGTACTGAAATTGCCCACTCTGATTTAGTGCACACTGTTAGCTTCACGCAATGTGCATTCAAAAATGTAACAAGGCAGTCAGAGCATCCCATATTTTCTGTCTGAGGTTGTTCAACACAATTTACCCCTTTCCTCCCCAGCCTTACTGTTTCTGTTCGGCCCTTTCATTCATTGGATTTCAGTTCTTTTAATCATGGAGGCTGGGCATCTCACGTGGTCATTACCCAGGGCAGTCAGCATGCAAAAGCCCCCCCTCAAGACTGTAATCCACCCATCAAGCCATTTTGACATTTGCATAACTCCCAATAGCAAGCCCACTGCTTAACATGGAGATTGAGGGTTCTTGAGAGGAGTACTGAGGATGGGTGCTGTGATGTTTTTAGGAAGCTATAAACCTTGCTGGCCCCCTTCACCCTGCATTCCATAGAGGTGTAATTACTGGGTCTAAAATACGGTGTGTAATGAATACAGAAAGGTTTTTATTTAAAAATGTTATTAACAAAATTGATATC